CCCAAAAAATCCATCCATCGTGTCAATCCCCCAGCCGTTCATACGCCTTGCCGCTCGTTTGGGGAAAGCAAAGCAATCACTGCCTGACCGGCTCGTTTTCGACGCGCACGTCACCGTCCTTCTTCCCGCCTTCTTCGTCTTGGGGTTGCCACTCGCTGCTCCGCCTGCTCATGCTCAAGCCTCCGCTGGCATGCCTGCGGAAACCAGGGCTCACCAGCGGACTGCCGATGCTTCCAGGAATACTGTCGTTGCGGCCATGTCCCAGCGCGCCCGAACGGATGCTACCCTCGTAATTCCTGATGCTACCTTCTTGGTTACGCAGTGAGCGTGCGTCGTCGGCCTTTAGACTCCTCGCGTCAACATTGTTGATACTGCGAGCGTCGTATTGCGAGCGACCGTCAAGGCCGGTCATGCTGCGGAGAGATTTGGCATCGCCGAGGTCTTTCCTGGGACCGGCGTAGTAGCTGTTACGCTCGCTGGCGAGAGCGGGCGCGGCGACTCCTTGGCTGCTGTAAAGGCTGGTACGCTCGGCAGAAGCAATACCGCCCATCCTGGAAACAGAAGCAGAGTAAAGGCCTGTTGTGCTGGCTCTGTCGGAGGCCTCGTTGTTGCCAGACAAGACACTGAGAGGTAGAGATTCGCGGCTACCACCCCAGGTCGATCCAGGAGCGAGTGCGCGTACGGACGCATCGGTATCCATGCTACGGCGACGACGCTTGGAAGAAGAGGCCAATGTGACAATACTCGCGTTGTCGCTGGACAGGTGATTGTCGGTGTTCATGGACAAGTGGCGGGGAATCGCCGAGACGGTGTTGAGGTTCGACGGGGCGGGCGACACAGGGTACTGGTGGCTGAACATCACAGCTGGTTGTGCAGAATTCTGGCCCTGCGAGTGTTGTGTTGTTGCGTTGGGCTGCAGGGTATTTGCGGGAGAGGTGGACTGAATCGTCGTCAAGGTCGTGGCCAGAGACTGATTGCTGTGATTGGGCGAGCTGAAGGTGCTTCCATGGCCGGCGCCGTCGATACTGCTCAGAGCTCCTCCTGTTGTGCCAGTAAACGCCTTACTGTGGCCAGTGTCGCTGTGGACTGTGTCTGGGATCGTGGCCACTGTTGGCGCCTTGCTCCTGTTGCTCGGGTGATTTTCTCTTTCTTGTTGGCCGCCCGAAATGACACTGCTGCCGTCGTCGTTGCGCGGGTGTACTGGAGTCGCGAATGACAGCTGATCATCACGGCTACTGCGCGGCGACTGCTGGCGCACGAAGCCAGACTCTGGGTAGGGGTTGTTCTTGACTTTGTCGTTGCTGGACGAGCCTTTCTTGTGCTTGCCGCCAGTCAAAGTGTTCCCTGTCTTCTTCTCCTTGCCACTGCTCCCATTCTGCTCGCCTCCTTTAAGGCCTGTGAGTCGCTTGACCCACGCGGCAAAAGGGCGCCGCTTGGCTGGCCTCTCTGCAGTTTGCGGTCTCGCGGCGACATCAGCTGCGGCCATGGCGAAAACAGGTAGGTGTGTGTGGTCGGTGACTTGAAGCCGCGATTACTGTCGCAGCGCTTGCTTATACAATCGGGCTGCAATGGAGTTCGGTCCGGGTAGGTAGATTGTCGGATGATGACGCAGCAATGTCGCTTGTATTTCCCAGTTGGGCAGCTGGGAGTGAATGCGCTGCTGGGGTAGGGCGCGGGGATTGGTCGATGGGTTTTAGCCGGTGAGAGGAAGTCGATTGGATGTTGTTGACTTGATACAATTGAACAGAAGGGCGATGTGCGATGGATAAGGGGAAGTCGGTACACAGTCGTGTTTTGGTCTGAATGGTGCGATGTTGGGGTGATATAGTCTGAGTCTGGCCTGAGGTGGGAAGTCCAGAACAAAGCAGCGATACCTTATGCAGATCAGCCCCTGCGTGCCTGCCTCTCTCTCCACAATGAATCTCACGGCTGTCCCCGTGAGGCTTAGTAACTTTGTGACGTGTTTTGGATAAGCTTCGGCTTCAACCTTCTTCCATCTCAAATCGTCCGACAAGATCATGTGACGATTCACTTCCTTCCACACTTCACTCATATCGCCATCCATTGTACCTCGTCTAATGTAAAGAATTGCATGTACTGGCATGCCTCTCACCACCCAAGACACCGCGTAAGCTAGATGTCGGCCCGCGTCCCTGTCTCACCAAGCCACTGCAGGAAGCGGATGCCGCCGTGACGACAACCTACCTTTGCCTGACCCTTCCAGAGCCCTTGGTGGTCTCAGATGAACCACTCCAACCTAAATGCAACCACGGATACTGCCGCTGTCTGAAGATGCAATCTCGCAACTACACTCTTCCAAGCAGATCACGAGCTTGCCGGGCGTGGTGCTCGCCTTGGTCACCAATGCCCTGGATGCAGATGCAACCAAAGTAGACATCTCCGTAAGCTTCGTACGAGGAAGCTGTACCGTCGAAGACAATGGCTGCGGGATTCCATCTGCAGAGTTCGCCGAGCATGGCGGCCTCGGTAAAATGCACCACACGTCCAAAGCGACGGCCGAGCATGCCCTCCATGGCAACACCGGCACGTATCTTGCATCACTCGCAGCGCTTTCACTGATCGGCCTCACGTCGCGGCATGTCGACGAAGACCTGAGTGCGACTTTGACTATGTATCAGGGACGAGTCATCGCACGTCAATACCCTTCATCGACCGCGAACGAGCTGGCTGCTTTTGGCACTCACGGCACTCGCGTTACTGTTGACGATCTCTTTGGCAACATGCCGGTACGTATCAAGCAACGATCCTTGAACAATGCCCAGGGAGCCAGTACAGATGAGAGGTCCTGGCTGGAGCTGAAATGCGACATTGCAGCGCTGTTGCTTGCTTGGAAGTTGCCTTGCTCTGTCAAAATTCGAGATCGCGAAAGCCAGAGCAGGAACGTTACCCTCTCTGGAAATCATTCTACCGTGTCCTCTGCCCTCACCGAACGGAACATAAACACGCTTCATGGCAAGGCTGTTCGATATGACCTTCGGGACGCCTTTCCCGTACTTTTACAAGCAGGGCTAGCTCCTCTTGACAGTCGACCACATTGGATACCGATCTCAGCTTCTACCTCGAAGGTCTCATGCCGTGGCCTGATCTGCCTCGATCCATCACCAACGCGCCTCTGCCAGTTTATTAGCATTGGCGTACACCCGTGCTCGTCTACAAGCGGCCACAGTGCGCTGTACGAAGCCGTCAGCAAGCTCTTTTCGAACAGCAGTTTTGGCACTGTTGACAGCCATATCCAACCTGAAGGCGAAGAACGATCCCGATCTTTGCAGTCGCCTAAGGGCTATGCGCAAAGGCAAACTCGCACCAGTAAAAGTGTCGACCGCTGGCCCATGTATGTCTTGCAGCTGTCGTTGAAAGACCAGGGAGACAAGCTGGCACGTGGTCCAAATGATCATCAGCTTGAGCATGTTGTGAATGTTCTCGAGGCTATGATCTATCAATGGCTAAGTGCGCATCATTTCCGACCACGACAGAACCGTGCACGGAAGCCAAATGCTCTCGTGCCTAATCGAGCTGGCTCTGGCCACCGTTCAACATCTTTGCCCTTTGAAAGACCTCGTTCCGACGGCGAATCCGCCATGAAAAGGCAGCGCACTGCAAACACACTGGTCGATGACGATGTCTTGGACGAAGCTTTGCATCCGCAGCAGAGAAAGGCTGCGACTATCGAACATTTGAGCCGGATCAGGGGTGGAAAAGGGAACACTACACCTTTAAGAAGGAGTAGCACCAGATCGGTCCGAAGTCCAAGCGCTGCCACAAGCACTCACTTTGCAATGCCCGCGCTGGAACCCGGCTCGTTAAGTGCGCTTTACAGGACCACAAAGCCCCACAGAAATTCTCCTACCAAAGAACGGTCGAGCAATGTGCCTGCCTTCATACAAGGAGGCGCCAGTGATGACTTCGGGAGCATCAGCGATTCGGATCTACTGGAAGCTGCACGGAACACTGCCCATGACGATTTGCTTGATGGAGATAGTGCGACGGGGAATACCATGTCAAGCCGCGACGATGTCGCGGAATGGAAAGACCCGATCACCAGGGAGACCTATCTGATCAACTCACGTACGGGTATTGTCCTACCAACAGAAGCTCGGCCTGGCACTGGCGTTAGCGTTGCTGGAGCCTCGGAGAGAAAACGACCCGCTACGACATCCATCGCAATGACTGCTGCTGGAAGACCGCTGACGATCAATGGTCGTGCGTCTTCTGCCAACGCAACCGCGGCCCACTACGCCGTTCCGGCATTCCTGGAAGACTGGGAGAATCCTGTTTTCGCGCGGCAAGTAGAGCAGAGTATACCACTTGCCTCGATTCTTGGCCCAGGGTTGGAGGTGTCGGACTCGACAGGAAAATGTTGCTCGAACAACGCCTCAGAATACTTTGCGGCACCCGGTAGCGGTACAGAAAGCAAGCTGTCCAAGGCGATCTTTCAAAATTCGAAGGTCATTAGTCAAGTTGATGCCAAGTTCATCTTATGCTCCATGCCTACCCTAGACAGCAGCTCCAAAACCCTGGTTCTTGTTGATCAGCACGCTGCCTCCGAGCGGGTAATTCTCGAATCACTACTCGCAGATCTCTACACCCCGATTGATACGAATTCACCCACCGCAAGACTCCGTACGAACACAGGCTGCTCTTCGGCAGTCGCAACTACACTCCTAGAGACTCCTCTCGTATTCGAGCTCACGCCGAACGAAAGCGACTTACTACGCGCGCAAGCACCACTCTTCGCACAGCACGGCATCCTCTACGACCTGCACGCCACTACACAAAGTCGAACCCACCACACCCTCTCAGCCAGAGCTCTGCCTCCCGGGATAGCAGAACGTTGCAAACTCTTCCCGAAACTGCTCATCGACCTCCTCCGCTCCGAGATCTGGTCGCGCGTTGAGTCAGGCAAGCCAGTGTCAGCGGATCTGCCTCCGTCTCACGGCGAACAATCCTGGCTTCGTCGATTAGGAACTTGTCCCAAAGTACTCCTCGAAATGCTCAACTCGAGAGCTTGCAGGTCGGCTGTCATGTTCAACGATGTGCTGAGCGTGTCAGAGTGCGCGGACCTCGTCGAGCGGTTGGGGAAGTGCGCGTTTCCGTTCATGTGTGCGCATGGGAGGGTGAGTATGGTGCCCATCGGCATGGTGGGAGGTGATTCTGGGTTTGAAGGGGCACGGGAAGGCGATAAAGCAGGCGAGGATGCGGCGAGAGCGGGCTATGTGGATGCCTGGAAGATGTGGAAACCGGAATGATAGCGCGCAATAAAAATGTTGAACCATGATTGTTGAATCCGCATCACTGCACAAGTATCTTCGTGGTTTGCATAATTGTACATCTTTTTTGAGGCTCCAATTATTTATAGTACAATGCCAAAGTGGATATGCCAATTTCGCCTACTCCTAGTCTGCATGTCAGCAGCAACATTCCGTAAGCAAGCTGCTGCCTACTTCCACCAGAAGCTTCGTCAGCCGATTTTATGCAGCAAACAGGGAAAACAACAAAGACTCGTTCTTCGCTTCCCCCAAGATTGCCGAGTGAGCGATTGCGAGACCGAGCTGTAGTACAAAACGCTAGGTAGTGACCAAGCAATGAGGCTCGTCGCCTTTTGTGCCCCGGTAAGGTTGTACATCGGGCTTAGTCAGACGGATCCTTCAACTCCTCCCATCTCGCAGACCAAGGTACTATCGGGGACCGATTGGCAATCTATGAAGATCACATGCCTATCCGGGTCAACGGTATAAGCTTACGATCATGTGTGATGGTGCAGTGGTGTCATTCGATTAGAAAGCATTGGAACATGCGAGCGCGGCGTCAGCAAGAGGTCTCTCATGTAAATATCTTTGACAGCGCCTTGCATTGAACTCACAAAACACCACAATCACCACCGACCGACCTGATCCCGAAGC